ATACAAAAAAAAAAAAAAAAAAAAAAAAAAAAAAAAAAAAAAAAAAAAAAAAAAAAAAAAAAACACATGAAAAGCCATTTTTCAAGTTTAATTGCATAGAACAGCAAAGAAACTAGGAACCGCAACATTCCAAATTCTCAAAAGCCAAACAAGAAACAGAGCAACGTACCAGACATAATAAAATATCTGGCGCTGGATTTAGGTTCAGCGCTAGAACCGTTGGAATTTTCTGGCTATTGTGATGAACAGGAAGAAGCAAGTCAGAAATGATGAAAAGATGAGAGAGAGAGTTTGTTTTTCAAGTAGCCGTTAAAAGAAGCTTTGCCAGATTTAAATTAGAATGCGTAGGCGGAGATGGGCGACGAAGTTACCGAGCCATATTAAACTAGCCGTTGCTTGGGATTAGATTGGGCCGAAAAAAATTACAGATGGGATTCAGCCCAATTCAAATCATTCCGATTTGTCAATCCAACTTTCAGTTTGGGCCTAAAGCCCATAATAATATTTCACCAATTTTCCGTTTTATTTATTTATTATATATATATATATATTTTTTTTTAATATAGGTGCCATAGAAGTGCGCACCAACTCACTCTTAATTCAAATTAAATTCCATTATGAATTTTATATGGCAAAATTATAAAAATTATACCAATTTTCTTTTATTAAAAAGAATAACAATGAAATTTAAAATTCAAAGTATCTTCCAAACCTTCTCAAATAATTCTAAAACTATGATTTATTTGAAGAGTAGCGTGAGATCTCACGTTAGTTGGGGAGGAGAATGAAATATTCTTTATAAAAATATGAAAATCTCTCTTTCGTAGACACGTTTTAAAATCTTGAGATTGACGGCGATATGTAACAGGCTAAAACGAACAATATCTACTAACGATAACCTAAAGCTGCTACAAATACATAGAGATGGGTTGTTAAAATCGTGAGGCTAATAATGAGCTAGAGAAAATAATACCTACTAACGGTGGAATTTGGCTGTTACAAATAGTATCAGTCAAGTTTCGAGTGGTGTACCAGCGAGGACGCTAGACCCCAGAGGTGGATTGTGAGGTTCCACATTAATTGGAGAGAGAAATAAAGCATGTCTTATGACAGTGTTGAAACATCTCCCTAACATACGTATTTTAAAAACTTTGTGGGGGAAGCTTGAAAGGAAAAGATCAAAAGGAGAAGTCTGAGAGAAAAAGATAAAAAAATGACAATATCGGTTACTGACTTGGACGGTTACACATTAATTGAATATAAATATTAGTCCTAAGAAATAATATTTATACCTATATTTAAAATAATACCCACCAAATAAAAAAAATCCAAATTGTAAATGTATAATATTTAGACCCTTCCATGATTTGAAGGAGACAAAAACATGAAAAGCTTTGACAAAATACAGTGGTAAAGTGACGTACATAATTATAATGTGGAAAATAATTTTATTATTTTATTTATTTATTATTAAAAAAAAAGATATTTCTATTGAAGAGTTCAACATTGGATGCTGATTGGTGAAAATAATTATTAACTTTAATTTCTCTTTCATCTAAGACTTTTTTTATTTAATTATTATTATTTTTATTTTGGAACATAATTTATAAAATATATTTTCATAAGAATTGAGATTCTCAACACTTTTATGTAATAAATATTATTTCAATTAAAAAAAAGTAATTTTAGTTAATTAATAATTGACTTATACTATTTAATTTTTTTAGATTATTATATTTCAATTTGCATACTTTATATTTATTATACCAAAAAAAAAAAAAAAAAACTCACATAAAATAATGTTTTTAATTAATTTGTCTTAATTTATTGGCTACAATATTAATTATTTAAAACTAATTATTGGCATGTAGTCGGAATATCATGATGTAATTTTAAAAGAGATAATATTTAATTAATTTAAAGAGAGGTTAAAAAGTTTGAAGCCTTCTCTTTATACATTATTAAATAAAAAAAAAAAAGAATTTTTCGATTAAATAAAATAACTCATCTACAACTAGAGAATTAATTATTAAGAATTTTTACAAAAAGTTTTAAAAATTTTAATTACAGTTTTTTTCCTATAATTTTAAAATAATTATTTTAAACTAAGCTTTTTTTTTTTTTAATTATTGGTATTAGAATTTTAAATAAAATAAAAATTGATAAAAAAACATTTAAAATTATAGCTATTTATAAATAAAAAAATATTTTATAAAAATTCGTCGGTAAAATAAACACCACATATTATATTGGCATGTTTTTTGGCTTAATAAAATGATTAAATTAATGTCTATTTCACAATTTGTTGTTTTTTTTTTTTTTTTTTTAATTGTTGGATTAGTTATTGATTGTTGGAGACTTATCAACGGCTGAGGTTTTTCTTTGAATAAAATATAGCAAGATTTTTATAAATTTACTGGAAAAATCATTGTTTTTTCAAGAGATTGAAAAATAACGGGGAAATAAGAGAAGGAGAGTGCAATAATTTGAGGTGGAACGATCTGTTCCAATTTTACTCCCCCTGTTCCGATTTCTCTGTTTTTGAGAGATTTGAGGAATATCAGATTCAGATTTCTGGGTGGAAAAATTTCAGCAAATTGTTTCCGATTTGTTCTCATTTTGTTTCGAGTTCCAAATAGATGATCGATCTCTTCGATTTTTTATATATAATCCGATCAAAACGCAAACAATTTTTCTTTTGTTTTTCAGTTTTGTTTTGTTGTGGTTCTTCTTTTATGGAGCAACAACTGATAGATTCTTAAAGAAGAGTATGTGTAGGCCTGAAAGTGACTGTGTTTACACGAGCTTTGATTTTAGGTGATATTTGTTTGGATGCTTTCTGGATTCAATACATTGAAACTTCTTGTGTTTTTGTTTCTTGAAATCGACCGATTTCCTGTTTTAGCGATTGATTTTAGTTGAGAATCTGATTTGGAGTATTGTAACCTTGATTGATTCGAACTGCGTTTGAGAATTGGGGAAAAACAAATTCTCAAAGTTCTTCAGATTTTAAGAGTTTTTTCATTGTTTCCATATGGAGGCTACTGAATCAAACAGGTGCCATCTGCCGCTCCTTTCCATTTCGAGATTTTATCTGTAAATTCTTTGGAAAACCGATTAGTTTCGTTGTTAAAATTTCCCCCAAAAGTTGTTCAGTCGTCTGGAGTGGAACCCATGGCGGTATCTTTCAGCCGTTTCTCATTGTGGGTTTGGAATAGGAAGGAGAAGAAGTCTGTTGCTAATGGTTCTCCTTCGAGTTCTTCGTCTGAGTTTGGTAATGGATTGAGAGAATCAGAGCGTCTCAAATTCAAAAGGGGGGTGGGGTTGCCTTCATCGGCGAAGAAGGTCGAGAAGCAGCAATGGGGAAGTAAGAAAGAAACGAGGATTGAGTGGGAATGTGATTATGTGATGGTACCATCCGGCGGTGATGGCATGCAAATGTCGGAGTCTGACGCCCCTGGTGAGGCCGATTGGAGTATTGGTTGGTTGGAGCCTCACGGTCCTGGCTTTAAGAGTGATGATAGTTTTGCCGTTCTGGTGCCTTCGTATAGCAATCGTTGCAAGGAAGTGGTAGAGTGTTCAAATGTGGAGCTTCTGGCTGCCATCAAGAATCTTCAAACTGAGTTCTCACCTGGTATGGCCGGCCTTCTATTTGTTGTGTGTTTTCACTGTTCTTTTATCGAATGCTTTCTGTCATATTGGCTATTTGCTTATAGCTACAGAGATTTTTACTTGTTTGTTCCTTCATAATTCTTTAGTTGATCTTGAGACTGTACGTGAATGTGGACATCGGTTGGAGATGGTACAGAGAGGGTGAGGGTGTGGAAACCTCTCCCTAACGGGAGCGTTTTAAAAAGAGGAAAAACCCAGAAGGGAAAAGCTGTCGGCATAGGCTATTACAAATAGTATTAGAACCAGACACCAGATGGTGTGCGGATGTTGGCCCCGAGGGGGGTGGATTGTGAGATCCCACATCGGTGGTTAGAGAGGGTAACGAAGTATTTCTTATAAGTGTGTGAAAACCTCTCCTTAGCAGATGTGTTTTAGATATGTTTTAGAAACCTTAAGGAGGGGAAAGTTCAAAGAGACAATATCTACGGGCCGTGAGGTTTTGGGATATTATAGAACATGATCTTTTGCTTTGTGCTGCAATTGGCAGAGATAAAGTTTTGAATGGCTCTTAAGAGACATGATTCCTGAAATTTGGGAGCACATTCATTGGGCTTGTTTTGGAGCTGTTTTTTTGCAGTAGTGATCCATGAATTGGTTTAAAAGCTTTTGATTTTCAAAGGAAGAACAACTAAGTCATTGAATCTCTTCCTTGGGGAAAGAAAATTCTCTGGATTTTTCATTCCAGAGACTAGTTTTACTTATTGAGTTATTTAGAGCTGGACTCGTATCTAAGTTATCGTTCGGGTGCATCGCATAAGTTACTATACTAAATTTCATGACTTGAAGGAAGCAACATCACCCAACTTTAGCATCATGTCACCAAGTGTGTCCTTGGACAAGCATCGGATTTTAGATTAAAATGAAACATCATGGACTAAGGAAACATGTCGTGGTGGCAGCTCGTCGCACATAGGGTGATAGATTTACAGCCAAATTTCTCGTCTTTGATGTGCTGTTTGGTGAGAGTTCTTTGCTGTCAATCTCATAAATTATGTAGGGAGAGATCACTATCCCAAAGATGATGCCTTTTCGTTCTGTATTTACATCATAAAAATGAAGGGATAAAGCAAAAGAGAAGCTTTCTTTTAATGGTTTTGCTGCTGATGATGAATATCTTATCTTATGCAGAGAGCCAGAAGCACATGGAACTGTTGCTTTCTTCCCTGCAAAACTCCAAAGCCTGAAATGTGCAAGGCAGAGCATCATCTTGACTAGCAGCACTTTATGAAATAGAGTAACAAACCCTAGTTTTGGTCTGGAAAACCATTGGAAGGGAGATTTTCTTCCTTTATGTATATATTCAATAAGACAGTCTTAACTGTTTCATTTCTCCAATTTCCTTGAAATATTTCTTGGGTGGCTCTGTAATTATCTCTCACGAACTTGTTCATCCTCCTCCCACTGTTTCTCATACTTCGACGCTTCGTTCTCGGTGTTCATGTCCTGTTTCAATGGCTGTAATTGAAGCACTGTACTCGTTCAGAGAATGAATCAACTGCCTGCAATATAGAATATGATATCTTTGTATTTGTCTGAAGCAGAGATTGATCACTTATCAATAAAAGACAGTTGCATTGTAATCTTGAGCATTGCATTTTACATTGGAAAAGACATTATTGAAGGCAAAGAGCGAGTCAGCTACTTTGCTAAGTGGCTTTCCTCAGAGTGCCTTAATTGAAACTTCTGATACCACCTTGGCTCCCCTTCCCCTTGCCAGGTACAGGCCTATGTGGTGCATCAGCGCCTGATATAACACATTCAACTTTGTTATCATTCCCCAAGATTCTAGTATTAAACGAAATCAAACATTCGACTCTCTTCATATTCGAACTTTTGATTTAAGGACGCTAATAGACCTTTTAACTTCAAGAAAGCATTTGGGGAATAAAGTGGACTATAATTAATATACTCCAATTGTTTTTTCCTTTCTCTAATCCATTCGGTAGATATTATCATTACATTGTTGAATTAGAATGTGCTTTGATCTAATCTTAAAATTCTTTGTTCATATAATTTTATCATCCCATGGATGCAGACAAGTCAAGCAAATTCAACCACGCTGGCTAAGGGTCGTATCATCTCCAATAAAACTAAGGCTTGGGCATATGAAGGGACAAAAACTCAATTAATAAAGAACAAGAAGAGAGACTCATTTTATATCAAAGTCAGTGATGGATCAATAATTTGGATACCTGTGGATGAGCAATTGCATTTCCTAAATTTTTGGCCACAGAAACTGGAAGATCAAAAGTGGCACAGCCACCAGAATATATAATCACATCCTTTAATGGCGGAAGGAAACCACGATTTCTTGCAGATAATGTTGAACAAACAAAATCCAGCACGCATATGTCGGTGCAAATTCCCAGCACTAAGATCTTTATTTTTTTTCCAGAGAAGAAAACAGATCAAAGATTAATTTTCTCTAATTGAAAAGGGAAAACGTAACTAGACCAAATTGTATCTCCGATTCAAAATTAGAGAATACTCACCACTTTGATCTGATTGTTTTTCACCCAATCGACGAAAACATTAGAGCCATCTTTCTCCAAACAACCTACAAATCCATCGATGCAGTCTTTGCATTTCAGCGTTACATTCGTCTCATTTTCTAGCCATTGCAAGGCTGCAAACAAGGACGAGAGATTTTCAAAATTGGAAATATAGTTTAAATTCAATCATGGAGAGTATCAGTACAGGAAATGGTACCTGGAACTAATTTGGCTTCGTCGGTTCCAGCAATGCAATGAGGAGGATAAGGAGGCTCTGGAATATCAGGACGATGAGAATCAAGAAAGGCGAATATAGGCCACTTTTTCTCGCAGAAAACTCTAGCGAGTCTCGCCGATTCCTCCACCATTTGAGAAATTTGCTCGTCATGCTGTTTCGGAGCCTGTAAAAACAAGGAGTCATTACCAAATCCGACGGAACTTCTGTAGTGAGTAATCGGAAAAATAAAACAAAAAAAAAAGAACAATAGCGAATGATATTCCGAATTAGAACTCTCTATCTCAAGGAGTAGTTTCCAGATTAAGACATGGATCGAAACGGAGAAGAGAAATCAGCGAATGGAATTACCAAATTTCCAGCGCCGACGGTGCAGAAGCCATTAACGACATCAACGAGGACGAGGCCAGTGTTAACGTCACCGGACAAAACAAAAGGCTCCTGAGTCACCGGAAGGTTCTCCTTCAACAACTCCACAACCTCCGACACCATTTTCTTCTGCTGCTTCTTCTTCTTCTGGTTTAGGGAAACAAATCAAATGCGGGAAGCGCCACTGAACGCGGTCCTTCAAAATTGTAATACAGGCAAGTTGGTCAAGGTAGAAAGTCAACCTTGATAACCATTTAATAATAGCACGGAGTCAGATATGGAAGTGGGTCCAATCGCTTTGCAATGTGAACCGTTGGATTTAAAAGCCCTGCCGAGAAATCGTGTGGCTGAGTGTCGTATAAGAAAAATATTAAATTGGAACCTCATTCTAATATATTGTTAAAAATAAAAATAAAAATAAATAAATAAAATAAAAGGAATGGTTGGGAGAAATTTACTGGGTATAACTTAATAATCCCACCAAAACGTCATCGTTCCACTAACTTCCCGACATTAATAGGCGTAACCTTTACGCAAAACCACCCAATCGAAAAGTTTAGATTCCAACTCAGAATTTACTTTACTTCCGTTAATGTTCGAATTATCTACGGTATATATAAAAAGAATAATAATAATAATGGCAGACGACGTCGTTTCACAATATAGCTTCTGACCAGTGCTCTGTCCGTTTGACCGGAAGATTTGAGAAGTCAAATGACATTACATCACTGCTACAAAGCAGAGATTTTTTGCAGCCCCGCCCTAGAACTGATTTACCGCTGCAAATCTTTTCTCTTCCGGCGATTTTTCAGTCATCGCCATGTGTAACGGCCATCGCCGATCTTCGTTTGGAGATAGCCTTTTCCCCTACCAAACCTCCGTACCGGAAAACGGCGATGCTTCTGTCGTGGATAATATACGGGGAAGATTGGCGGAAGCAGAGTCGCGACTGGCTGTAGTTCGGGCTCGGGAGGTGGAGCTCAGCCGCCTCTTGGAGGAAATGAAACGTTTGGTCTCTGTGATGGAGATTCTCGAGAACTACCTGAAACGGCAGTATCGTGACCGCCAAGAGTATGTGGTTCGCTTCTCTCCCCTGTAGCTCGAAAATAGAAATTCCTCTTCGCCGTCAATGTCTGTAATTCTAGGGCTACCAACCCAACCTCGGGCTGTTGTCTTGCATTTTCGTTCATATTTTCAATCCTTGTTGACTGTATTCGCTGCCAAATCCTTGAATATATCCGATTAAGAATTTGTAGTCTGCGGCGTTTGTTGCTCTCCGCCCTTGATTTCACTTGGGAATGGAATAGATACCATTAACTCGTTTAATCGAAGCAATTTGTGACAATTTTCTGTAACCTAACATGAACAGTCATTCGCTGGGTTTTACAGGATTGAATCGAGAACGAAAGAAGAAAGAAAATGGGACAAACTATCAGTCTATTTTCAAGTATACATTCAACTATCAGTCGCTAAATCTAAAGTGTAAAGATTTGAGGTCTCATTTTGCCAGTCTTGAATGAGAGAGCGAAGTGTGTGATTAGGGGTGAGATAAGGATGCTGTAACCTCAAGTTGGTCATTGGTGATGTATCGTGTCCTGCAATTATCCATTGTTCTATGGCCTCTAACTCGTACGAGAACCCATCTGCTGCCACATGTGGGTTCTTCATCACTTCCTGCACCAACAATTCACCAAATAATTATGAACTTGATTCCTTTTTTGGTAGAAAAGTAAAGAAGTTATGGCCTATGGTTATAATAAGCATTGAATGTTAGTAGCCACTTGTGTTCAATTAAGGCAAAAAGCTATTGATTTCTCGAGTTGCTTAGTGAAGCAGCGAAGAGACCGTAGGGATCTAGAAATTCAATAAACCTGCAAGATGGGACAGATGAAGATTCTTGGCACATCATCTACATCCTCATTAGTTGCATTTGCACCTTCGTTTCCCACTAGATCATCTGCTTTCGCCTTGATCTCATCGATCTCCTCCATGGCTGTCGCCAAGTTAAGCTCTGAATTTAAACCATTTGGGGTTACGCATCTCAAAGCCAGATCAACTAGCCCATCAACCAAGTCCAACGGCCACTGTCCAGCCTCATCGTCTAAAATCTGGACAATACCAACCTTTCCCATCGTCAGTGCCTTCTCAATCAGCCCTGTCCAATTCCTCCCAGTTACCAGATGTAGCAGCAGAGCCCCAAAAGCCCGGATGTCCAACTCAATGCCACCAGCTTCATCCAATTCGGCAAGCCCAAAACCAGTGACTTTGGCGACAAGGTTTTGGTCCAGGAGAATTTTGGAGAGGGTGAGGTTGCCATGAGAAATGGGCTGAGGTTGAGCCTGGTGAAGGAAGCTCAGGCCCGAGCATACCTCTGATGCTATACGGATTCTGTCATGCCACATGAGAGGGCGGCGTATTTTCCTGGATCTTCTGTTGGTTGGAAGTAGTCTGTCACTTAAGCTACCATTATGCATGTAATCAAAGACAATACATTTGAGCTCGGAGCAGAATCCCATCATGGCAATCAGATGAGGGTGACGGATATGGCTTAAAAGCTCCACCTGCAAATAAACACAGTTTGGATGAAAACATAGTTTTTGACAGTTGAAGACAGTTGAAAAGAGGGCATCTGCTACCTTAGATTGAAAATCTTCTTCTGACAGACAATTTCCTGAGTCGATCATTTGGATTGCAATTGAATTATGATTGATACGTCCTCTGTACACCTGGGAACTCAATCTCATTTGTTCTGAAAAGCCCTCGGTGGCTAATCTGATCTCTTCACCCGTGTAAACTCTTGTACTGCAAGTCACTTCAGTCGACCTTTCAGCCATTCCAATGGCATCTTTCTCTTTGCAGAACTCAATTCTCCGGTTAAGAATGTCTCTCTGTCTCCTCAGCTCCTCGATTTCTCTCACCATCCCTTCCCTCGTTTTCGCTGTCTTCTCCAATTGAGCTTCTATACGCGATTTTCCTGCAGTGGAAATTTGGAGCTTCCTTGATAGCTCAGCTTGCAGTTCGAGAAGTGAACTTAATCTATTCTTGCTTTCCTCGATATCACGTACTATTTCAAGAATGCATTCTTTGGCAGGGTCTAATTCTTTCTGCAACTCTTCCCTAATTGTAACCTCTTCTTTTATCTGTGCTTCAAGCTCTTCGGTCTGTAAAATCATGAATACTTTGATGGTTATGAGAGCGAATACGAAATGAATCAAACAGAGGAAAGAAACAGCCTATAGTACCCGCTGACTGCACAGATTAATGGCCCACTCTGCTTTAGCTTGCCTTTCAGCACTACCCTTTGCTTCATCTTTCATCAACTGGATGGTCTTGCGAGCTTCCTCTATTTTAGTCCTTAGATGCTCAATGCTTTCCTCAGTATTCTGCCAACATCGTTCAGGCAATCAGCAGTGTTCTTGAGTAACAGAACTGGTAACAGATCAAGTCCCATATTGAAGATAGCAAAATGAGTTCATTACTAGTTTTCTCCCTGGGTTGTAAATGAGAGTACATTTTTAGGAACAAATTCTTAAAGACCCAATTCCTCAGTCAGATTGAAAAGTATCATATCATGATCAGTATGTCAGATTGAGAGCAAATTCTTAAAACCATTGACTGTCATTGTTGCTAGAAAGCAAAGTGGATTTGACAAATTCAATGCTAAAATGCACAAAAGATGATGAACAACTATTATTTAATTGTTTTCCTGACTGAAAAATAATATTTACCATATCTGAATCAGGATGATCCAGAATATTGAACTGGGTTGAACTTGAAGTTTCAAGAACATCCTCTTGATCCTGCTCGCAGTCTTTTTCTTCCTGCAAATTCAACGATAGTAATTCCTCGTAGTAGTTCTCTAGTTCATGGATATTATTGTCCCAATAATTTCGAGAACTCAAGGAATTTGAACTACTTGGTGAAGAAGACGAGAGACTCAACATCCTCTCTGTGGAATAGATTGGATCTTCCATGAACATCTTTCCCAGCCAGTCTTTGAATGAATGCTTGCTGCTGATTTTAGAGATCCTTACACCTTTATCATCTTCCATGATTCTTTCATCTCTGAGAAATACCTGTTTTCCTCCCCATATTACAAACAACTCACAAGAATTGGCCTTGTTTCTGTAAATGTAAAATGATCCACTAATTGCATTCTTTGATTTCCTGCAGAAGAACAATTCACACACAAATGTTTCAATGCAAAAAATTGATGTCTTATCTAATATCAAATCTTGAGAAGTTTTCTGCATACCAAGATGAAGATTTCATAAACGTAAAACCAATGACTAAATTGGTGATTCCCAATTCTGAAATCAAGTCAACAAGGAACCTATGAATAGGTTCATCAGATTTCTCAACCTTGAGTATTTCGGCTTTTACCTAATGCCATAAGAAAGGGGATCAGACATTGTAAGAATTTTCCAGCAGTCAATTAGCTAGAGAAGAAATATGATCAAACCTTGCCACAAAAATCTACATATTTAGAAAGTAGCTTATCGATCTTTTCCTGCTCATATTTTCTCAGAACTTTCACTTTCTCTTCACTTACAGAACTCGCAGGGAGCTTTCCGACTGAAATGAGATAAGCAATCAACGAAGATTAGGAGAACGAATATCGATGAATCAATGAAACATAATTTGAAGAACAGGCAGTGTTTACACGGAGTGTAGACATATTCCTGGGAATTGGTGTAGGCGATGTGAAGAATCACAATTGAAATCGGTTGAGTCTTCCATTTCCCAAGAGTCCACCCCAATGTCTTGAATCCATCGTGAAGATCATTTCCGATAGCAACGTAGACCTTGTCTGCTTTACCAGTCATTGATTGATTATCAACGAGGCGCTTATCCGTTGGGCTTCGATTGTGTCTCTGCAAACGAGTTGCCAATGGCTCCCTCAACTCGTGGTGAACTGAATAAAGCGTTGAATGAAGGCTGAATGCAGAGCTTCCGGTGGAAAAGGAAATGGAAAGTTTCCGGTGGGGTCTTTTGGAGGTTTAAGAGTGAAACCTTCGTAGAAAGTTGAAGAGCAAGATCCTTTGGATTTTAACCTTTCCTCGTAAGTTTGTGGCGGATTTTCAAAGCTCCGGCGAAGACTTTTCCCCCCGTCGTCTTCATCCATTTATATTTACTCCCTTGACGGGGACGCCCAAGTATTTTCATTCTTATTTCTTAAATACTGTTTTTCATTTTGGTGGGGCCCATTAGAGACATTTCTTCGTTGCCAATTGGCATCATTTTCTTGAGTTTTTTATTATTTATTTTTTATTATTATTTTTTTAATAATATATTTTCAATAAATTATTGAGGTAAATAATTCTGCTCATAATAAAATTTTAAACTTTTGAGTTTTTATTTTATTTTATTTGATTGATAAGCTTCTTTTTTTTTTATTAATTAATTAATTTATTTATGAAATATGGGCTAAAAATGCAAAACTAGATCTCAGAATGATTTGTCATTGACTTTTTTTTTTTTCTTCATTAAATTATTCTAAAAAAAATTCGATTAAATTTAAACAATATTCATCCATTTGTTTAATATAATATAGTAAAAATAAATTAGAAAAAAGCACCCTATCGTAAAATTGATTTGGAATATTCCTTTTTTAGTCCCTTTTGTGGAGGTTAAAAACAAGATTAGTTAAGTTTCATGAAAAATAAAATAAAAAAATATATTTTTCTTATTTTTTAAATATTACTTGACGGAAGACTTTATAATAACTTATCGTGTGACGTTATTTCATTACTTTATTTAAATACAATAAATAAATATTTAATTTTTTTTTTATAATAATAGGCCAATCATTCTTTCAAGAGGGTGGAAAAGAAAATAAATTGAGTATTAAATATTTTTTACCACGGGAAATTTGACTACAAATGACAAAAAAAACCTTCCTTGTTGTCATTCCTGTCATGTATTTCATTATTTATCTTTATAAAATTTCTCATTTATTTAATAATAAAATAATTTAAATTAAAATAGTAAATAAAATGGGTATAAATACTTAATTTATGTGAATAAAAAGTTTAATAGGTCTTTATTAATTTTTAATTTTGTATTTATTAGAATCCTGATTAATTTAAATTTTATGTTTAATGTAATTTAATTGTCGGGAAAATTTATAATGTTTTAGAAAATAAAATTGAAGACTAAATTAACAGAAATTAGAAAGTTGAATAAATTTGTAATTTAATCAAAATTTAATTTAATTTAGATTTTGGGCGGCCGCCACGCGGGGCACAGTCGGCTTCTACATTTTCGGGACGTCTCTTTTGTCCTGGTATGGCTCTCCTCGGCGACGATGGTCGGGGCTATGAGCTAGCTCGAAAACTCGAGACCCTTGGCGTATGGCGGACATGGCTTGGTGATTTCAACTACTCCAACTTCGTGCCCTTCCTCTCTTCGACTTCCACATGGGAAACATTCATGCGAACGGACGATTCGAAATCTAGGGCTCAGATCCAGCTACAACTTAGGGCTCGAGCTCTCCTCTTCGACAAAGCAAGCGTCTCTCTCTTTCTTCGTTCCACTCCCTCGCCTTCTTCTTCTTCTTCTGCTGTGAATCCATTATCGTCCTCTTCTTTGGCTATTTCGAAGCTCAATCCTAATTGTAAGATTCATTTCGAATTGGATTGTTGTTTTGCCAATTGTTACTATACTGGATTAGTATTTGAGTCTGGTGCCATCTTTTGCAGACTTGCAACTTCATGGTGACGATGTGTATTTTACACTGGAAAATCCTTCCAAAGATGTGAAGGGTCATGTTTCATCCAATAAGGCTTCCGGCAAGGTTCTTTCCTTTGCTCCTTCACTATAGTTTTCAAGATACTTTTGTATTTCCTATGCTTTATTATGTTAGTTTTGCATGAAATTTTGACGCGTCAAAATTTGCAAGCCCCCCCAATATTGTTCTTGTGAGACGTTGGTTGAGTCTAGAGTTTATTGGCTTCTTTCTTGGGGCAATGGTCTGGTTTGGGCCTCCAGTTTTTGTAATACAATCGTGCCTTCACACCGTAAACTTATCAAGCATTGCTGTATAGGATGTTTCGTGATTTTGGGGACTAATTGGATTTGGGGTGAAACCTCAATCTTCTTGTCAGGAACGGATGGGAAAAGATGGAGTGACAGTGATCTTAAATTGATAGCATTGATGTTGCCCGTTGCCCATCTCTCCATTTTCAGTGCTTCCTTCTAAAATTTATTTTGTTCCGAAAAGCAATTAGAGCTATCTCAGGTCTAATGTGTATGCTATATTATGGCGAGTACTCAATGATAGATTACATTGATGCCGACTCTATAATTTGATCAATTGTTTTGTCAGATAGATTCCATCTTTGACAAGCCCCTATCATTCCTGGTTATCAGAGTCAACTTTAGTTGCTTTGGCCTGTAAAGTCTCCATCCTTCTCCTTTCTGATTCCATCTCTTGTGATGCTTATGTAGTTTTCATTGAAATTTGAGTTCGCAACAATTTGTGTAGTTATATTTTAGGCCTTTCTCTGAAACATAATATTATCTTTTTTCCAAAGACGAAGAAGAAAAAAGAAAAAGGAAAATCAATAAGCTGACACCAAGCATGACAGAATAATATCAATATCACATGATAACTTTTCTGTAATTACGGTTCTTGCACAGAAATATGATAAAAGATTACTTCACTTGCTTGTTAAGTTTTTAGTCCTGTTCGTTGTGGCTTTAATTGTTCAATGTTCATATCGTATGATTACTAGATAGGATGGGAGGTTTTAAGTGTGAACTATTATAAGGTTGATGATGTGATTTTGGTTTATCTATGCTTATTTATACTTATGAGTGGTTATAGCCTATAATAAGCGGCCAATCCCCAAAGTGCAACATACCTTACTTGTCACCTGGATATGCAGATTCAGCCAAAAGCAGCTTCAAGTGTTGGGCCAAGATCTAGAGAGTCTGAAATTGGTGATTCATCCCAAAAATTAAAAAATGAACTTCCTGAAACATGGTACAATCAATTCATTGAGAAGTATAGAGTCAAGCAGCCATATTGTTTGTCAAATGGGAACAATGTTGCAGACAAGCGAACATCTGAGGAAATGTCCTCTTACCTTAGATTACTTGAGAAACATAAGAAAAGGCGTATGGTCTTTAAGGATGATCAGCTTACAAATTTTGGAAATTCTGTCTCGGCAAATGCTTCAAGTTCTGCTTTTGATTTCAATAGTTCAATTGAAGACGATGCTAATTTTTTCCCTGAAGTTATGTTTACTTTTAACTGTGTGCCAGAGAGTGCATTCCCACCCCCTGATGATATGAAAGACTATAGAAAACTGGAACTCTCCGGAGTCACTGGTACCTTCCCTCAGCCTATTACTAGGAATTCTGCCATGATGGAGAGGTTTGGTGTTAAGCCTGATTACCTTAGCACAGAACGAGGGAGCAACGTACAGCGTGCAAAAAGTGGATCTGGAGGGAGCAGGAAAAATCTTGGTCAAGAACAATCTTTTCAGATGTCTCAGAAAGTAGTAGCTAAAATGTTGATGAGTAGAGGGTTTGATGGTGCTACAGAAGTTCCGTTGGAAGTCTTCTCCCAGTTTTTGAGTTGTCATATCTGCAAACTTGGTAGTACTTTGAGAGTACTTGCTGATAGTTACAGAAACCAGTGTTCAGCCGTGGATTTACTGAGGATGTTCCTTAAAACGATGGGATACGGGTAAGTTTGAGTTATTATTATTTCTTTGTTACGAGGTTGATGTGTAACTAAATGGTGTAAATGAAGAACTGAAGTGTTTGAGGGCCAAACAACCATCATACGGTTAACATTTTTTCACTTTAATAATTCTCAATATCTTCCTGACGTCATCATTCCTAGTGCCATCTCTTATCTAGTTGCATAATTTTTGTGTTAATTGATATTGATGCTGTCAATTTGTTTGTCTAGAGAACAAATGCTTGCCGAAGAAGGCTAATAATATGGTAGCATTTAATTTTCTGTACTTGATTATAAAAATTAGAAGCTTGAATCTGGTCCCAAAACTTGTCGAGGCTATCATAATCTCAAATGGGATTTGTTAGGGAACATCTGCATTAGTGATAAAGTTAAGTTCAAGCTACTTTATAACACTTCTTTGGTTGCTTGAATCCCATACAGTAACTTTGGACCCTTGGTGGAAATTGTCAAGGATGGTTCCAGGAATTATGTACGGCAGTCCTTGCAAGTTCATGGAGTCCAACCACAAATGCAGGCACAGCATCAGAGCCTTCTTCAAGTGCCTCAACAAGTATGTATCCCTATATTTTCTCCTGCGTGTCAATTTTTGTTTTGTGTGACTTCCCCTTGTCGTATGAGGCCTTTGTTTTTCAGTCTCTTATGGTATGATGTTCTCATGTAATTACAGATGTTATACTGCGAGTATCAAATTCTCGATAGATATTCTTTTGTTGGTATAACTCTCTCGCTGCATTGAGACAGACATTTTGTCCCACAACATTTTCTTGTTACTTTAATCAACTATTACCATTCATCTCTTTAATAATCCTTGCTTCACATGCCATCAGTGTTGTTGAAACGAATCGAGGACATCTATTAAAACTTAAAACTCTATATTGCATCTCGAAAACCATAAGGCAAATTTGTTGGATCTGCAGGTGCCCAGACAAATGCATCCCCAGATGCCACAGATGGTTCATCCACAAAATTTGGCATTTCAGCAGCAGCAGCAATTAGCGCTTGCTGAAAAGATGCGAAGACGGCAATCTGCAAACCCACGTGCTGTTATGGAAGTGAACAAGGACAGACCATTAGTGCAAGTCAAGGTTGAAAATACAGAATTGCCTATGGATGGCAACGCCTTAAATGCTCTTAACGTCAGACATCCCCAGTTGCAGTTCCGCCACCCGCAAATTGCTGCTATGTCCAATGTTCACGCTTCACCAGCAAATCAATTCAGGCAGATGTCTTCTATGCAAATGCCTCAGATCCAGACACCGTAAGAGGATCTTAAAATTCAAAAATAATCTTTAACCACAAAGTTTGTTCTTGAATGGGTTCTTTGCTGATCTATTGTAGCACATTCTCATCGTTATGCAGGAATATTAACGTCGCTAGGGCTCCACCGGTCAAGGTCGAAGGCTTCCAGGAACTGATGGGTGGGGACTCTTCCTCAAAACATGACTCGGAGGAAGCTAGATTGACCTCCCCTTCAAGTAAATAGTTCGGGCAGTAACTA